TGTGCCAATTTCCTCTTTGACTGCCACACTGGCTTATCTCTCCAGTGGCTTTGCTGCTCATGCTCATGTCTCATGGTTAGGCTGTTCATTCACTACATGAGAACCTGCTCACAAACTAACACCTCCTGGCCCAAAAGGGACAGTAAGGCTCTCAATGTCACAAACAGAATCCGTTTCTCTCCTTGGTTATAGTGTCAACTATACAGTATAAAATATAGTAACCAGTACATTTTAAAAATGTAATTCACTCACTTGCCTGACGTAAAGTTATGATAATTGTGTGTGCCAAGGAATTTTGAAAGCACTTGATTGACTTCCTCAATCTTGTCTTCTATAAATTAATGTAGAAATGGTAAAGAAATAACATTTGTATACAAGTCACAGGGAACTAAATTGAAAATATGAAGTTAATTACACATGTGTAGACACTGGAATTCAGCAGAAAAATGATAAAGTGAGTTTTCATTCTTACCTGAAACTCTGTAGTTTGAGGTTGTTTGCTGCCGATAACAGAAAATAAAAAGCAATGGAATAAGTTTATCTAGTCAGACCAGAGAAAAGACAAACACACTTCAAACTATTACAGTGTAGCAACAACACTACAGTGCAACCTGGTAAATATGGACACCTAGGCGACATGTATGCCATAGTATCCATTTCCCGGTACCATAGATCACACACAGGTTTTCACCCTTCTCATAATGTAAAATCATGTCTCTGACGGAGTGGCACTGGACACTGACATGAAGAGGAGAATAATGAGCACAGTAGCGACTTTCCCCATTGCAATGTCTTCAACTGTTTCGCTCAGTGTACCTTCGAAGTTGCCAAAGAAGAAGGCAAGGCAGTCATTTCAGTTTAAATTGATTGTTAGGAAAGTTAGTGAAGAAAAGAACCATTTAGATGGATTGATTTTTTTCGAAGTTGTGCAGTTTTAACCTCAATCAATTCACAATTAACCAGGGCATGAAAATATAACTTTTTTATGTAAAATATGTCATATTCAATTATTTTTTATCTTAACTTGCTTGTAAAAAGTAGAACTTTGAGGATGACTTACATAATCTTTAGCAAAGGCATAGGTTGGAGTAAGATATTCATATGTCCTGGCTGAACAGTTTCCTTTAGCATCAAAACCTCTAGTTGTCCTTTTCATAGCTGAAATAAAAAAGTAAGCAGAGATATTCTGCAAATTCAATGAAAGAAGTACTCTCATAATAATTAGGCCAACATGTAAGCAATTTGAAAAAAATCGGGTTCACATTGTAGTCAATGAGGAGTACCTCCGTAAAAAACTCTTCATAAGTTTAAAGCACATCCTTCTGAAGGGATTTCATTTGAAGCGTCACAATAAACAGTTTTGTCCTCCGAAATGCCCAGAGAAAGAAGAGAGGAGGAGAAAACAAAAAGGAAAAGTCAAGACTGTTGTGTCACTTTTAAACCCAAAAACTACCTTGAAATTTTGTTTTCTGCACAAGTGTGAACTTCGAAAGCCATTATTTTGCATGTGGATCAGAAGGTTGCAAAGTACACAACCTGTAAAGGGCTTTGTGGTAAGCTTTAGCATTTTTCTGCAAAATTCTCGGGAGCAAATGGGTTAATAAATAGCACCATGTGAAAGGACAATGTGCTGCTGAAGAGGTTTCATTTGAATTGTTATACAATGTACTACAGTAATGTTAGAAATTTAACTTCATGTTAAACTCACCAATAACTCTTATCTCAGGAGGAAGATGTTCATTTATCTTTGGTACAATGCTTTGCTCTGGCACCATTTATGAAAAGAGAATGATATAAACAAAAAATATGTCATTATCTATCACATTATTATATTACGTACACTGTGCAATTTTTTTTAAGACTTGCTTGCAAGTTACAGTGTACACATTACTCTTGGTTTGTGATACAAATATATGAATATATTATCAATTACTTACCACATTGGAACAATAAGAAAAAGTAAAATCATTTTGCAAAGACTGACTTTCCAAGTATCTGTTCAATTCTTCTCAGGTAACAAGAAATAGTTAAATCCATACTGCCTTGAGCATGAGAAAATTCAACTAACAAATCATGGCAATACTTATCTTCAATGAAACAACTTGTCTTGCAGCAGACACTCCTTTGTCTGTTCTAGCACATCGCTGAAATGACATCTATGGGGTTAAGCAGAGAAAGACAGCAAAATAATCAGCCCAGTTAACCCTTTAAGTGCCAATAGTGACCAAGATCAATTTTCTCCTAACAATATCCATACATTGTCAAGAGATAAGTTATGAGAATTCTTAAAATGATCACCCAAGTAAAAATGACTTGATCTTTTATCAAATTATCTCAATTCATTCTTAAAGGAAATGTATGGAGATCAGTTTGGAGAATTTGTATGTGGATACAGGGGCTTGAAGGGTTAACGAACATATATGTGTAATTAATAATATTATAGGATAGATTTTCTTAATATATAGATATATTTTAGCATTAATGTAGTTTCTCTGAAAATTTTGTTATGTAAACGGCTCACTGGAAGAGCTTTTTTAATGAAGTGATACCGTTAATAAAGCTTTATTGATTGATTCATTGATTGAGTCAGGGTGGTCACTAAGATTTCAAGTTGCCAGCTATATGTAATTAGTTGGTGGGAAAATGAACAGTTAGGAAATTATTTTGGTTCTGTTTTCCTTTTGTTTCCTATGAAAGTAGGTGGCAGTCGCAGCGTGCAAAGAAAGTAGTGTCCGTTAGCCCGGGGCTAGTGGATTTTGCTATCGGGCCAGTGAATTCTGTTTTTAACTTGCCAACAGGCAAGTGATGTTTTTTGAGGAATTCAAATAACAGAAGAACTGTGAAATCAATTCTGCCAGTCAAAAAGTTTTTGGGGCTAGCTGAAAGGACGTCTGGGCTAGTACATGCTAGCTTCAGCTTGCCCGAATGGCAGGCTGTAAAAATGATTTTCTTTCCACCCTGCATTCATATTTGTAGTAGCCAAAGAAAATCTGTGGCCCCTGTTCCTTAGTGACGGCCCTGAAAATTATCACTTCTACAGGCACATGTAATTACCAGCGGTAGTTCATTACAAAAATATTACAATAATAAATAGCATCAAAAAGCACTTGTTAAAGGTCCTTTTTGTTGTCCACAGTACTTGTTACCAGTGCTTTAATTACAGAATTAAAACTGAGTTATTTAACAAACAGACAACCTTTCTCTATTGATTTCTGGCATGTAGTCATGTAATTTCATGTCACAATGTTCAAATTAAGCCCTGTGTACAAGGGCTCTTGATTTAATGCCCAATTCTCTCTTTGCTTTACAAGTAAATACAAGGTAATATCTTGGGAGAATTTAGCAGTAAACCATAAGTCATGTCAGGCATTTTTCAGGCACCACTTTAATAAGGAAAAATGGTGAAACAACAATTAAGAATAAAACACTGACTTTGCCTAAACAGGCCTTGCCATCTTCAGTTATTGCCTCTGCTTTGTACAATGCATTCACCAGTTCCTCTTCAATAGTCTTGACTCCTGGATTACTGGTTGTAAAAACATTTAAAAGAAACAGTCATCATAAAAGTAAGGGAAAAGCAACAGTTATTTTCAAAAATTTAAGAAGGCTGTCAAAGAACACACCATCAGCTAAGGATTGTTGCCCGTCTTGTCACCAGACAGCTACTGAGTAAAACACTACCTGGCAAAGATTAGGGCTGAATTTTCTATTGTCCATGATAATAAACAAACACAGCTACAAACAAGGCTGGGCCATACAACTATAATGGACATTTTAGACTCTTGAAGTGAACAACAACAGTGTTCAATGTCAACATCCACCCTGCTAAGTTTTCACCAAAGAGTAACTACATGATTACATAATTGATAGCCCAAAGACAGTAGACTGGAGCTACTGGGTACAGTCTGCAAAGTAACTAGTTTCATAAAGTTAAAAAATATCTTAGCTTTAATTCTTGTCCCTTAAACTGACTTCATCCTACATATATTTCCTCTTTCCCCAGGCATTTAGCCAGACTACTTTCATTGTTTTATGGAAAATGGTAAGATTTTGAAAAAATAAAAGGATATGGAATTATCTTAGAAGGGGCCAAGAAGGATTTTCAAACAACAACAACAAACAAAACTTTACTCACACACATTAAACCTAAACACAATTGCCCTGCAAATTAGCCAAAAAATGCTTTTTGGGGCAGGGAAAAGAAATCATATTGAAAATAACGAAAATGACTCAACATAACAATACAGAACCCTGTGAAAACATGCCTTTAGTACTCACATCATTAAAAAAAGGAGCAGTTTTGCCAAGATCAATACCTGTTCTACCCATTCAAAAGAAAAACAAGATGTCCTACTTACATTTGCATGCCATTATATCCTGCACCACAATATGACAACAACAAGGCACACTTCTTTTTCCTTGGAACAACATTTGATTTTCCTTTCTTACCATCCTCTGCTTTCTGGAGGTGTGACAAAAAAAAAACAGAGTAACACATACCATATAACAGTATTGCTGATAATATTAACTTTTCCCTAACTGTGCTATTTTATATCTTATTAATATTAATACAGCCAACTATCTTATAAGTTACCACCCTTGGAGCAAGACAGGAGCTTACGGGCTTGCTTACGGGAGATGGTCGTCTATAGGAAATATCAAGAAAATAAGCTCAAACTGAACTGATTATCTTACAAGCTAAAATGTAAGCAAATAAGTAACTGGCAATAATCTTTTACATCGAATAGCACTTAGGACTTCTAAAACTTTGTACAACATTTTGCATCAATGTTGCAAATTTATCTACTTTTTTACCTACAGATCATCTTACAGCCGTCTTTTTTTAAAGTAAGCTGCTATAATCTGTCAGCATGCTTAGTCAGTGCTATCAAACACTGAACTTTTGAGACATTCGAGCAATGATTCTCTTGTTATCATGCTGGGTGGTCGCTTTAAGGGCAACAGAAAACAAAAAATGTCAAATCTCTTGTTTAAAAAGTGGTCATTAGAAATTTAAGTAGTGGTCGGTTACGAGAGTTTCTGAAACAGTGTTTGACTAAGAAACAAAATGGTTATTTTCAAAGTGTTTGCTTATGGCAGTTGGTTGCTTATAAGAAGTGGTTGCTATGAGAGAGTTGACATGCACTCTTTCCATGCAGATATGATCAAAAGCACAATATTTGCTATCATGAGTGAAGGCCTGAAATGTCCAGGAAACTAACATTTTAAGCCTGTTTTCTTTAAAGTTAAGATTTAATTAATATTTCCCTCTTTGATGAAAGATCATTACCTCCTTTAACAATGGAAGGCCATTATTAACATTCAGAGCATGAGGCTATCTTAAAAGGCAAGTTTTTTAAGCCATATGCCCCTGTGAAACCTGCAACCACCCTGTGCAGATCCATTTCCCTTGCACCGCTTGTGTTGTGTAAACAAATCCAGCAACAGCTATAGCGGTCAGAACGATCAGACTTGAAAGGTAAGATTTTAGAGCTGTTTAGTCTGGGATGGCATATGGAAATCGGACCATTTAAATCTAGAGCGGGGTATATTAGTTATGGGGAAATTGATCAGTGGTATGAAGATCTAGCGTTTCCTTTCACAGTTGATAGGGATTAGGGATTTTAAGTTACCGGACAAAGAGAACTAAATTGCAGCTGAACATGGTATGTTTACACTGCAGGTAAAGGTTTCCAGTCACAGTGTCCTTGCACCACACATTACTCTACAATAATATTTTCAAAATAACTCTTTGAAAATAACACCTTTACTACATTTTTTCCTACTTCTCGGTGAATAATTGTTGCATGTTGAACATACCTCATCTTCTTGTTGTTCAGTTTTCACTCTTTTGATCAAAGCTTCATCTTCTATCATAGTGTCATCCTGCAGTGGTCTCTTCAAGGTTCCGATAATCTCTTTCTCAGGAGAGTTATCAGATAGTTTCTCTTCCTTCTCCGGTACCGTACACGTGTTATCCAACTCCGCCATATTCTCTACGATTACAATCCGTGAAGATGATGAGTTTAGCGTCCTTACTAGTTTGTTTATATTTTTTAACCAGAACAATGTATATTTCGCCCGTGTTGTGGCGTCAAGAAGACTTTTCATGAGCCAGAAATCGGAAAGAATCTCAGAGGAATAGCACTATGCAGCACTATGAATTTTGCAGAATTTTGTTGAACAAACCGAGTCCAGCGGCTATCTATTGCAAGAATCCTACTTCATGTAAGAGCTCCCTCATCCCAGTTTCCCACTTGGTTTCAGCTTCCAAGAACCTTGTTGTTTCCTTGCTGTCTTTCAAGGATACGTTTTCCTTGTCACGTAGCTTTGGAACTATCATCATGCTTCGAATTGGATGTCCTTTTAGAAGCCTGAACACTTTCAATGTTCTTTCAAGGCAATTGGTGAGAAAATATTATTTTATTGTAGTCACTGCCTTATGGCTCATACATGGGGATTACATAAGCCAAGCTCCCAACGTCCGTCCTCGAATGCTGAAAAAGCTTAAGTTCTGGACAATATTAAAAAAAAAAAAAGACATTTTAAGGGATTGGAAATCATGCCATTGTTCTAGGAAACAAAGGTATATCATCATAGAAAAGAACAAAAATTCGGACTTGTTTTACAATTTTTATTTTTTCGCCATATACACAGGTCCTTTCTTACTCATGCTGTTTTGAGGAAGTAGCGTTTTTGTTAACTTAATCCTCACTGGGAATGTGTTTCCCTCATATTTGGTTACTTATCTGCATGCTCTATTTTAAGGTTAATGGTTCTTCCACATGCAGCCACAGCAAATTGAAGTCATTTGCTTGGGCAAAAAACAGCATACTTAAAGTAAGTGTAATTTTTGGTGTTAAATATTATTAAGCTTCTTCCTTCTTAGACGGCAAGCGGTCGTCCTTTGTTCCTCAGAGGCATGCGAGGTGAGCGAAAAGTTTCCTTTTTCCCTCAGAGCCATGCAAGGTGAGCGGAAAGTTAACATTATGCGAATTACTTGCAAAAAAGGAGGAGAGATTGGTGCAGGGAGAGAGAAAAAAGGATGACTGCAGAGGTTTTATTGTATTTTTAATTACCGTTTCAGCGAACCAGAAATTTTGATTGTTCACCAACTTGTCAATCTGTCAACAACAAAAACATCTCAGTCCCAAAGCAGTCCAATTTTCACAGCGGCTTTTTGCGGCACATGGCGAACACACACATTCTGTAAACTGCACTCCAGTTTACAAATGGAAACTGAGGTCTTCAAGGAACCTGGACTATATTCTGGGTCAAAATATTTCCTCTTTTCGCACCAAAGAATTTCAGTACGTGACAATGAAAGAACAATTTCAAGTAGTTTGCCTGGTCTGTAAAAATGCAAGGCTTCTTCCCGTTTTTGCTTTCTTTCTCGGTTACTTTCAGTAACCCCATGTTTTTTGGGATTTTCAGTATTTATTACGCCACCATAATTGCAATAAGTCACAGATAATTGGAGAACTATATCCCAAACCAAATAGCAGTTAACAGGCAATCAAAGACAATCTGTTTGTTTACAGGGAAAAGCACGGGAAATAAAAAGGGCTGTCATTAACAGCAATTAAGGAGGCTTGAAAAGTGGCAAATTGCCAGATCAAAGATCCCATCGCAATCTCTTCTTTTTCTCTGCTCGGGCTCCGCCCTCGTTTCTCGCTGCTTTTCCGCTTGCCACTCGCGTGTATCCTCAGTTCTCGTACTTACATTCTACCATGTCTCAAAAAAAAAAAAATAAGAGACTGCTCGCAGTCTAAATTTGACTTCAATTTGATGTTTTAAATTTGACTGTGTTTTTGCCATCAGACAAAGTTGTCAAGCGTGACAAGGAAATGCAGAAAGTTTGTGACAATGGAGGTTTCTGCTGCACCACCAAAAACAGCAGATTTACTACCACAAGGAACTAGGATAACAGGTACCATGGGATAGTAAAATAAACTAAAATGGTAAAAGAAAACCTTTCATTTTGTCAAACATTTTACAAAAAGAAAAACTCTGATTAGTAGCTACTGGTAAATGCACTAACTTAGATTTAAAAATTAAAAGCACATTTTGTTATTTTTTAAAAAATTAGTTTTATTCTCTGCTTGTATTTTCTTGGATTTCTATATTTATCTTTAATCATTTTGTGTAGAATCCATGACTTAAGCTTTGAGTAAGTTATTTAATTTTAGCACAATTATACTACAATATAACCCATGAATAGAAGCTAACCTACAAGTATTATTAATAAGTGACTGTAGGAATAAGCTTAGTGTAAAGTGCACTGACAAGAGCCACGCTGTCATCCATAGTGCGCATGGCTAAAGTGCACTTGCCTTATTCACCAAGGACATAAACCCCACTACCCCCTCTTCCCCCAGGTCTAGATCCACTATTGTGCACTACTGTATGTAAACAGATTTCAACTGGACAATGGAGCTACAAATAGTTATCAGAGAATGTCTGACTGAAAGGGGCACAAATTCCTATCTTCAGTCAGACATGATTACCAGATAGATCAAAACCTAACAAAGATATCATTTAGTAGTTAACAACAACAACAATCTTTTTTGTGTACTCACTCTTGCTCAAAAATAAATTACAGCAATTAAAATATTAAACCTAAAAATTAGAGTACTGTCTGCCAGCCTGGCATGGTGATAGGCTCTGTTAAAGAATAACATAGTACTAAAAATACTCAAAGTGAATGTAAAGTACGTCCAACAACTTTTCTGGTTTATCCAGCTTTAGTAGCAACTTGGTTGCCCATATTTCCTTTCTGAAAAGATGAATAATTTTTGTTTGCAGTCCTGGGACAGACGAGAATGATTGTTTGCCTTAAGAATGTCTGTTAGAGTTAACAGGTTTCTTGTTTTAGAAAGGTCAAATTGTTTTAATTTTCCACCTCTGTGACCCTTTGTTGCTAGGTTACTGGATGATTGGTTGTGCTGGCATGGTGATAGGCTCTGTAGTGCTGGGCGGAGTCACACGACTCACTGAGTCTGGTCTTTCCATGGTCGACTGGCATCTCATAAAAGGCATGAAGCCACCAAGAACACAAGAAGAGTGGGAGAGAGAGTTTGCAAAATATCAGACATATCCAGAATATAAATAGTAAGTTTCTCTTGTTGTTGTATATTTTCTTTATTTAAACATAATCATTTTATTGATGAAGATTGCCCTAAGAGTTAAAAGAACTCATCAAGAGGGCTCACTTCTCAATAACATTTAATAAGAATAATTACATTAAAAAGTTATTAGTCAAAGTGGCAGCAAAACAAAGAGGATATTAAAGCAATGATAGCAGGTGGAAAATACATATTTAGTAGAAAGAATTCATATTCAAAAAGTTTTATAGTGTGAAGTTTAATACGTCAAGTGGATGGAAACTTTTAATTTATTTATTATCATCATCATCCTGTGACCACCAGAGTGGTTGGGACATTCACGCCATGGAGATTTCTTCCCAAACACCACAATTCACTATCAGTTAATACTCATGAGTCATGTTTTAATCACCTACAATAAGGTATTGAAAATTTTATTGGCCTATTTCGAGAGCAGGTAATACTTTGAATGCAACTTTTTTTCTGAAATGACTCTAAATTTGAAGACCTGTGCCAGGTTGTTTAAGCTTAAAAGCAAATCCAGTTTAATTCGTTTTGTCTCCAATTTGATGTGTAGATGCTCTGAAAAGAAATGTAGAGAAAATTATCCAAGAAAATGCTTTTGAACAAGAGATAAAGAAACCAAGATCAAAATTTGTCCCTAGATTAGCACTGATTGGCCTTCGCACAACTGGGCCCTGGGCAACACATCAACACCCAAAACCTACCATTAGTAACTGCTCCAGGGATTTCATACATAGATCCAGAAGTGTCACCTCTGAATAAATTGACATTGATGTTTCTTGTCATGTTTTATCTTTTCTTTTAACTAGTGCCAATCAAGGCATCTCTTTGACTGAGTTTAAATGGATTTGGTACATGGAGTATGCTCACAGGATGTGGGGTCGCTTGGTTGGTGCAGTATTCTATCTTCCTGCTGCTTACTTTTGGTATAAAGGTTATTTTAACAAAGGACTGAAGATCAGAGTTGGCGTGTTTGGGGCACTGATAATGTGTCAAGTAAGATTACCTACAATTTTTTTTTTTCAGCCATTTCTAGCATTTAACATCTCAATAATTTCTGTAATTCTCATCTAGGCATGTCAACTTATGGCTTCCCTGTATTGAATGTTATATTCATCACTAGATGTGCCATTGCTCTACACTGTAAATGATGGTCAGGGTGTCACTAAAATTTTAAGTTGCTGGGTAAATACAACAAATAGGCGGGGAATCAAACACCTGGTATTTCCTTTGGTTCTATATTTCTTCTATTTTCCTTTGAAGGTAGCCAGGGGCCACTTTCATTATAGCCTGGGAAATTCCTGGCTCCCGCCTCTCAATGACGGCCCTGATGGTTATAGTACGGTGGCATCGTATTATAGGACTGAGTGGAGTCAAATTTGGTCGTTAATCATATGTATGATTATCAAGTACATTTTCTCATCATTTACACATTCTGTCCAATAAATTATGCTGGAAATGTGGAAATAATATCTGCCACAGTGTATAGTAGCCGACAAGATTAGAGAATCCTATTTTAGTTGTGATTAAAATGGGATTAACGAGCAACAAAATGGTCAGCAGTTAAACTAAACAAGTACATCAGTTTTTCTTGTTATCTTTTATTTGTAAATGATTTAAATTTTTTTGTTGTGAAAACTAAATACATAATTGACACATTAATAAAGCTGTTACTTACGTACCTTTTTTTGACATCAATCAATGATCTCTTCTTATCTCTGTGACTGCTAAATATTATTATTTGTATTTTGTCATTTTAAGGGTTTGCTCGGCTGGTATATGGTAAAAAGTGGACTTGATGAAGAAAAGATTAGCAAGACAGAAATTCCTCGTGTGAGCCAATATCGACTTGCAGCTCACCTTTCAATGGCCTTCCTTCTGTATGCTGGTTTGGTGTGGTGTGCACTCTGTCAGTTTATACCAAGGCCCAAGGTAAATTAGTAGACAAGTTTCTCAGGTATACTCCTTGTATTTTTTTGGTGGCATGGTTTATAGAGCTGTCTTTATCAGAGCAGAAAAATCTTGTGGCCATTGTGTTAGCTTTGCAAACCACCTTCTTTAATAACAAATTTACCATAAATATTATCTTATTTTTTTTCCAGTATGTCATGACACCCCAGTTGAGACGGGTCAGGTGGTTTGCTCATGTTTGCAAAGGTTTTGTGGGTTTTACCGCAGTGTCTGGTGAGTCAAAAATAACATAGAAACCTACACAATAGAACCTCCATACTCAGTGGGACTGGAGTAAATAGTGTGGAAAATCAAATATATGAATATTAATGACTTCTTTCATGCCCTAATGTTATCATTTCCACCACAAGTCTATCTGTCAAGACTAAAATTTGTTCATCTGTTATCTGTAGAGATACACTGTGAGCAGTCTCTTTTTCTTCAGATTTAGTGAGGGGAGTGCAGGCGCGCTCGAGTGTTGAGGCGATAAATGAGGGCGGCAGCCCAAGAAGAAGAAAGAAAAAAAGTGTCTTTTTGGTGTCTCTCCTGTCTCACACCTTCCGTCACACGGGTGGTCATTTGTGTGTCTCCCATGTTTTGCTGGACGGACCAAAAAAAAAGAGAGACTGCTACTGCAGAGAGCTCATTTTATATGAAGTTGAGTTAGGGCTTCATCACTTACAATGCATGCAAATGCTACTGTTCTTTGAAACGGAACTTTGAAAGCACTGATGACACTCGAGTAACTTATTGATTGAAGCTCCTTACCCCTCCCTCCTTAGGTGCCTTTGTTGCAGGCTTAGATGCAGGTCTGGTTTACAACTCTTTTCCCAAGATGGCTGATCGATGGATTCCGAGTGATTTGTTTGCTCTTGAGCCAAAGTGGAAAAATTTCTTTGAAAACCCTACTGCAACACAGTTTGTTCACAGAATTCTTGTGAGTAGTTTTCTGTTTAATTCATTTTTTAGCAAATCTATTTTTGGCATACCACACATTGAAAGAGGGCACATTTTTTCGTAACCTGAATTTCATCCAATTGCTTCGAGTCGTTTTCTCCTCAATAATAACAACTCGAAGTACATGTAATCAGATTAAATTCAGGCTACATTTTTTCAATTATTTCTATTAAAAATACATATTTTGGGTGGGAGAGTCATCTGATGACCCCTCCTTAAAAACATCAGTTGAGTAACAAATAATTCTCATTTTTTTTGGTGCAACATCCTTGAAGGTCCCTCAAGTTACTCTTGTTTTGACAGCTCTAATAGTGGTAATTTTTTTTACAGGGTACAACCACAGTGTCATCCGTCGCAATCTTGTTTCTTCTTGCAAGGCCTCTAACATTACCAGGAAGAGCCCATCTAGCATTAAATTGCTTGCTGGGGGTGGCTGCTGGTCAGGTGAGGAAGCTACAGAAATGA